TTTCTCTTGATGAGGTTCGTGAGGCTCAAAAGATTGAGCCATGGATTCGAAGGCTTCGAGATGCATTTGAGAATCTTACATCACTTGCTGATAACTTGCCTTTTCGGCATTTACATTTTCAATATCATCTTAAAGATGGCCTTCTTTATTTTGTGGGGACGGATCCTGATGATCCTTTATAGCTGGTGGTGCCTTCTATCTTTATTCCGCGGTTTCTCTATGCCTACCATGATTCTCCTGTTCTAGGTGGGCATATGGGACATCGTTGTGTGACCGAGAAGCTGCGCAGGTCTTTCTATTGGCCGGAGATGCGACGTGATGTTATCCGGTATGTGCGTAGCTGCGTTTGGTGCTAAGCTCGTAATACTCCCCCTTGTGTTGCGGAAGGACGGTTGGAGTCAATTGCAGTTTCCCGTCCGTTTGAGTTGGTGGCGTTTGATCTTATGGGACCTTTTCCACGGTTGACTGCTGGCAATGAGTATGTTATTATTGCTTCTAACTACTTGACTCGTTGGGTGGAAGTTGGTGCTCTTGCTAGCGCCTCTACAACTGCTGTTGGATACTTCCTTCTCAATCGAGTGGTGTTCCAGCATTCTTGTCTAGAGCGGATTCTTTCGGATAATGGTCCTACATTTATGGCTGAGGTATTTCATGTTTTGACGTCTCGGTTGGGGATACGCCACACTTTTACGAGTGCTTATCATCCACAATCAGACAGTCTGGTGGAATGGCTCGTTCGGACATTCAAAGGGATGATTGCGAAGTATGTGAACTTTCAGCATTCGGATTGAGATGGTTATTTGCCGTCTCTTCGGTATGCTTATGTCACAGGGGTGCAGAGTTCTGTTGGTGCTTCACCGTATAAACTTATATATGGTCATGATCCAATATTACCAATGGAGCTGGGTTTACCTTCGGGATTGCCACGAGCTCCTAATGCTAGGTCCTGGGAACAATATTTGACGAGCATTCTTCCACTTGTCCGAGTAGAGTCTGCCGAACACTTAGGCCGCGTACAAGTGGGACAACAACGGCGCTACAACTCCCATCATCGTCCACCTATGGAGTACAAAGTGGATGATTTAGTGTTAGTCCGTTTTCCCCATCTTACGGTACGTGGTTTATCTAAGGGGCTCCTTGCACAGTGGAAAGGACCGTATCGGGTGTTGCGGCAAGTTGGACCGCACGTTTATGAGGTTCGGCATGATGTTCAGCAGGCAGATCTTCCGGAGATTGTGCATGTGCAGCGGTTGAAACACTTCATACAAAGGGATCAGGAGCAGTTAATACCGTCTACAGATCCGCCGATGCCTCCTCCTGATGTTCCTCCAGATCTCAGCCCATCTACAAGAGAACCCTGACGGCCTTCCATTATTCCGAGAGGAGGGGATGATGTGAGGGCCAATTGTACGGCTACGATGCCGTATATTAATATTAGCGTAGTGGGATTTTAGTAGCCATTGGATTGGTTTCAATCCAGACCACTCACTCCTGTATATAAGTTAAAGTTTTTGGGCTAATTGATATGCATATTTCTATATTCCCTTTCCATATTCCATGCACTCACATATGTAAAAAGACAATCAATACACTAGATTTTATTAGATAGTTTGCAAAATTTATCCAAGGCATGGACAGAATTAGCTATTGCCTTTGTATAAATCTCAAGGAAATTCTCAACAGAAAACATCAATCAATTAATCTTTTCTAATGGCAATTTCAGTCATGTCTTGCTTGATTCTCTGCTCCTTGTTAGCTCAAGCTACTGTTGGTTTGCTTGTACAATATGGCTCTGTCACGGTTGGGAATGGCAACTTCATCCCCTTGAGCAGCACTGACTCTGCCCCCACTGTTGACATTGAAGGATTCGGGAAGAATGGCACTGCTCGTCTCTTCTCGGTTGTCATGGCAGATCAAAAGGCACTGTCAGCGCCAACCAAAGTTTACCCCTACATCAACTTTTGGATTGCAAACATTCCAGCAGGCAGCACCGGTGAGTGATATACTTCAAATCTTTATATGATCATGGTGGCTTGGCAGGAGCTGTGAAGGGCAGCATTTTGGAGCCTTATGTATCTCCTTCCAACACTAGCAAGAACATTCCATACCCAAATCCATTCAATGCAAGGAACCACACGTATGATTTTGTGCTTGTTCCACAAAGGAATCCCTTGGTGAAGCCCATGGATAGCCGGCTTGTCAACTCGCTGGCTGATATCATCGGACAATACCACTGTGGAAGCCCTCTCCAGACCGTCTCCTTCACCACCTCTCTCCATTGATGTTAATCCACTAAAAAGTATTTGCCAATAAATTGAAAAATATTTGTTATCAGGATGAAGATAACCAAGATGCGCAACAATCTGAGCTCCTTGGATGATCTTCCCGACGAGGTGCCCTTCGGGATCCTGTTCCCGTCGCGCCACTTGTACCACTTGTATTGGGGTGTAGCGCGTCGTCACAAATTTCAGCCTGGAATCACACAGTCACTGGTGAGGATGAGCGGCAGCAGGGCCTTCTTTCCTGGTTTGGCCGGTGCGGAAGCTGCACAAGCTCCGGTGGATGCTCGTCAATGATGCCGTCTACGTGCAACCATCCAGGGCGGAGCATCCAGGGCCTGTAAATGTCTAGGCTCAACAAGCTCACAAGCACCTTTCGAGGCTCGCCCAGCGAGAGGTCGCATCAGTGGCGTCAAGCAGCTCTGGATTCGGCCAAAGATCTCTCAACCTTGCCGCCGCCTTGAGGTGCTTTACATTGCTCGTATCTCCATGAAGGTTCATGGCTAACTTTTGGTGTCGTAGAGCTTGAGCCTCGAGGACTGGAGCAGCAGGCACGCTCCTCTGCGCATGCACGAAACCATGACCGAAAACCAGTCAATGTTGGTCAATACTATATCAGTCAATGATTGGCAACACTTCTAGTCAACAAGAGAAAGAGTTAACTACGAGCATGATAAACAATTTGTAGCTCCTTAGCTTTCGCGGGGTCGCGATGAGCATTCATTGGTCTTTCCCAATTACAAGGGCCTCAAAGATAAGTCAAAGGACTTCCACTATATCAGCGCTTGTAAGAACTGGCCAATGTTTCGACTTCTTTCAAACGTCTTGGCAGCTTTTATTCTTCTTTATGACCAATTACTGTTATATAGCATTGTTAAGCATCTCTCCAGGTGATGGACATCTGACCGTAGAGGGGGTCGCTGGAGCTAATGCCCAGCGCTTTCCACACAGCATCAGAGCCATCCACAATGTTATTCCGGCATGGTGGCTGCCAAGCATGAGGCTTGTCACAGCCCATTGTAGAATCACACTCGTCCACCACTTTGGCAGTGGTGGATCTCCCATTTGGAGCTGTGATACTGATGAACTTCAAGCACCGGGAGCCCCCACTATACCATCCGGTTGAGAGAGCCACGACCCTCTCGGTGTTGGAGTGGAATTTCCCATCGCACTCCGAAGGATCTCCGCCATCGCCACCAGCTTGGAAGTCGTTGACAGTGAGAATTGCTTTGGTGCTCTGCGAGACTGGGGGCGAGCATCGATAGATCGGATAGTTTGTGTTGGCCTTGCAGCACTCGTCGCACTGGTGGGCCGAATTGCCCTTGAGAGTTCCACTCTGCTGGCAAGTTCCTGAGCCACCGCCACCGCCGCCGCCACTTCCAGCGCAGATGTGAGTTCCCAAATCCGGATCGTCTTGGCAAGTGCGCCCCGCTCCACAGTAGAGCTGACCATCGCAATCGTCGTTTGTGGAGCACGATTGCCCGCATCCCCTGGACTCGACGAGAAGATCACGAGAACATATCGAGAAGACGATCAAAACACGCACAATTGAGCCAATTCTTAGAGCCATTTGAATGCTTTGTGAATGAATTGCTGTGATTATCTATACTGAAGTTTGGTTTCTCTAACTTTGGGGAATCTTCCTGAGAAGCATCCCAGTCAAGTAAGGCACCGGTTTGACCGGGCCAATGATAGTTGACTGGAGTGTTTCTTTGATTTTTTTTGTTGAGAAAAATAGAAGAGTGAAAACGTAGAGAGATCTCGGCAAGAAAATAAGGACGCATTTGTCAAAAACTTAGGAGAAAAACCAAGACATGCCCGTACAAAGCCATGGAGGATATTGTCTATCGCTTCTTGGAGACTCCCACGGTTCTTCCGCGGCGTCCGGTGGTCTTGGTGTGCTGCCCGCGGACGCGCAGGCCCCAGTAGTGACGAAGACCACGGTGGTTCCTGTCAAACAATAAAGAAGTCAATCCATCCATCCCCAAGAGATTGAAAGGGAAAAACGGCTTGCCTGATCTTCTTGAGCCTCTCGAGGTCGTCCCTGAGCTTCATGTCCAGCGCGTTTGCCACAACCTGCGAGTACCTCCCGTCCTTGTAGTCCTTCTTCCTGTTGAGGAACCAGTCGGGGATCTTGAACTGGCGGGGGTTGGCAACGATCACCATGAGGTTCTCGAGCTCCGCAGCAGTCAGCTCACCAGCCCTGTTCGATCGAAGAGAAAGAAACAAAGAAAAATGATAAGCACAGATTTTTTTTTTCAAATCAATGAAGAAGCTCAATCAATCAATCCGAAAGATCAAGGAAGATAGTCATCCATAGAAGCCCAACCCGAAAGATCAAGAAAATGACGAGAAAACAAGATCTTTCAGCTCACCAGCAGAGCAAGAGGAAAAGAAAGGGCAAACAATACCTCTTGTTCATGTCCACATCCGCCTTCTTGCAGACGATGTTGGCGAATCGGCGCCCAATTCCCTTGATGGAAGTCAGCGCGAACATAATCTTCTGCCGCCCGTCCACATTCGTGTTGAGCACACGAAGAATGTGCTGGAACTCCTCATTGCTCACCAGAGACTGCCAAAACAGAGGCGCCGGAGGATTATTTCAACACCCAACACAAGAATCATACCATCTTGCCGCCGAGCGCCTCAGCTCCCGACCCGAGATCCCTTGCTCTTTACTGGCGGCTGAAGAACCCTAATTCCAAAAGCCCTAACACTTTGTTTAAGAATTAGGGCAAAACTTTCTCTTATTAATATATGTTAGTGGAGGTGTTCTCTACCTACCAAACTGTGCTAAGTTGATGTCTTGTAGAGATATAGTTCCAGATCTATCCACATCAAGCTCTTGGAATTGTCTCACAATCGCCTCTAAGTCCTCTTTCTCGAGCTTGCCCATCTCTTTGAGCTTATACACCATATACTCGGTGAGGCTGCAAAACAAAGAACACCAAGATCAAACGAGTCGTTCTTACTAGCAAACGCTGGAAAGCTTCGAAATAAGACAGCCCACCTGAGAGCTCCATCGTCGTCCAGATCCGCCGCCTCGAAATCCGAGTAAGTGATCTTCCTGGAGAGAATCCACTTGGTGAGCGAATGCTGCCTTCCCTCCGTGACAAGCTCCGCGATGTAGAGGACGAACTGCGCAACACAAACCGTGCTCATCAAGATCCACACCACCGCAAAGATCCTCCCGCCGGCGCTCGTGAAGCTGCGATCTCCATAGCCCAGCGTCGTCACCGTCACGGTCACGCAGTAGAACGCATCCAGGAAGCTCATCCCCTCCAGCTTCACCAACACCGAGATCCCGGCTCCAAACAGCACCAGAACCAGCCCCGCCGCCACCGCCACCTTGCAGTGAACTCTCCGGATCCTTGCATCGCTCTCGGTGTTCTTGTGATGGAGGTACTTCTCTCTTTTCTCGATCGCTCTCTCCAGCAGCCTCTCCTGCTTCTCCACCAGATAGTTTGCAGCGTTGCCGAGCAGCAATCCAAAGATCGCGAAGCCCACGAAGACGAACAGGCACGTCATGAGCTTGGCCGTCGCTGTGGCTGGAACCAAGTCGCCATAGCCGACGGTGGTCATGGTGACCACGCAAAAGTACAAGGCGTCGACGAAGCTCAGGGTCTTGGTTCCATGGAGCTCGTCCCTGACGTGGACGAAGCAGAGGATTCCAATGGCGAGGTAGAGCGCGAGAATGAGAGCTGCGGTCTTGCCTGGAGAGTAGGATTTGGTGGTCATTCCAAACGCGGGCGCTGGGGAGATGTTCTTGGGCCTCATCTTCATCGCTCCACAGTCGGAGGAGGGAGCGCTCCTGGATCTTCGGAGCTTACCACAATTTGAGATGGTGGGCATCGCCGATTCCTCATCGTGGTCCTGCAGGAGTGGCTCCTGGAGAAGGATCTCGAGCTTGGATGGCCTCCTCTTGGGCTTGCTGTGCATTCTGTGTGAATTCACAACCCAAACCTATTTTCCGATCAAATGGATCATGTTCATTTGACTTTGCGGCTGTGATTCTAATGTACTTCAAGCACCGTCCTTGTTGAAAAAGCCAGTCGTGTGAGAAGCATTCACCATCTCATCCACTTTTTCATCTAGAGTGAGCCTCGACCCAAAGTCTTGGATGCAAACATTAATGCTAAGCTTGGTGTCATAGAATGGAAACAAGCCAAGGCTAACATTGCCAAAAACATTGCAAACATACCTCTTGAAACTCTCACATTTGAAAGAATCACCTCGTAAAATAGGTTTGGATGGAGACTTGAATTCACAAATGAAAAGCAAGCCCCAGAGGAGGATTGAGGCCCTTCTCTAGAAGCCTTTCAAGAGACATTCTTGCCAAACCACAACAACGCTCAATATTGTAAGCTCCAAAGATCTAGAACTCCATCCTCCTATTGTGGATTATTAAAGTTGAGGCACTCTCTCCAAAAAAGACTATGTGCTCGACTGTGGGTGCTCAACTGGTTTTTGATAGAATGCTGTATCATGACATGGTTCTGTTTCTGAATACAGAATAAAAATTATTTTATAACTTTTTGAATTTTACTAATATATTAAGTGGAGAATTTCTTCAATCTTTAAACTAACAATACAACTATAATATTGCACTATATTAAAGACTTAATAAGAGGCTGAAAAGATTTTTATATTTTACATATAAAATACCCAAGCTAATCAAATTGAAAAAAAGGATTATAGTAATTTAGTTTAAAATAATTCAACAACTTTAATAATTTTAGAAATTTAACTATGTGAGTGTATAAAATATGGAAAGGGAATACAAAAAAATATGATATCAATTAGCCCAAAAACCCTAATTTATATACAAAAGTGAGTGGTCTAGATTAAAACTAATATGATGCCTACTAAAGTCACATTACACTGATATTAGTATATGGCATTGTAGTCATACACTTGGACCTCATATTATCCCCTCCTCTTGAAATAATAGAAGACTATAAAAGTTTTCTCATAAATGGGCCAGGATCTGGAGGAACATCAAAAGGAGGCATTAGTAAATTTATAGGTGGTATTAATTGTTCTTGATCCTTTTGTATGAAACATTTTAATTGTTGCACATGCATAATTTTTGAAGGATTAGCATGTTGGACATCATGCTGAACCTCATAAACTTGTGGTTCACCTTGCCGCAACACCTAATATGGTCCTTTCCACTAAGTAAGGAGCCCCTTAAATAAACCATGTATCGTAAAATAGGGAAAATGGCCTAACATTAATTCATCCATTTTGTACTCTATAAGTGGATGATGATAGAAGTTGTAATGCCATTGTTGTCCCACTTGTACATAATTTAGGTGTTCGATAAACTTTGTTTAGACAAATAGAAAAATGCTTGTCAAATACTAATCCCACAATTTAGTATTGGTAGCTTGTGGTAATTACGAAAGTAAACCTAGCTCTATTGGTAATATTGGATCATGACCATATAGGAGTTTATATGGTGAAGCACCAATAAAACTTTACACTTCTATGACATATGTATATCAAAGAAATGACAAATAACTATTCCAATCCAAATGCTGAAAGTTCACATACTTCGCAATTCTCTCTTTGAATACCCAAAGGAGCCATTCCACAAAATCATATGACTGTTGATGATAAACACTTATGAAAATGTGGCGTATCCTCAACCGAGACATCAAAACATGAAATGCTTCTACTATAAATGTGGGACCATTATCCAAAAGAATTCAATTCGCACAAAAATGTTAGAATACTACTTAATTAAAGAGGAAGTATCTAATAGAAATTGCAAAGGTGCTAACAAGAGCACCAACTTCCACCCAATAAGTTATGTAGTTAGAAGCAATAATAATATATTCATTACTAGTAGTTGATTGTAAAAAAGGTTTTGTAAGATCAAATGCCACAAACTCAAACAGATGAGAAATTACAATTGACTCCAACCGTCCTTCTAAAGCATATGCTTAGAATAGGAGAAGCATGGTAAGCATGGAGAAACCATGGAATAAAGATTGAAGGCACCATAGCCATAAATGATCATCAGAATCCATCCCCACAAAATGAAAAAGGCTATTTTCAAGATGATATTAAGAATGTAAATATCGAAATGGCAAGTTATTAGCAAGTGATGTAGAATTCTTAAACCCATCTTGAAGCCTTCAAATTTATAATCTTTTGAGCTTTGCAAACCTCATCAAGAGAAGGTAGATCTTGCTTTGTACCTTATGAACACTAAATGTCAAATATAACAACTGCTGATGGCACAGAATCCTTGTCTAGAAAATCCACAAATGCTGGAATAATAAACTTGTCAAAAACATGAGAAGAAAACAAAGAAGGAAAAGGAGCTCAAGAAAAAGCATCAGCCATAAAACTCCTTAAGTGATTGAACAACATTAAAATTATATATCTGAAGTTTCAAAGCCCATAGACCCCATACATCAATTAAGTTCTTCTGCTTCATAATGAAGTAATGGCAACATAATTTCATTTTAGTAACGTCCGAGAACCATGTAGATATGGATGAAGTTTTTTGAAACCCCAGACTACTGCTTGTAAGCTCATGAATTTGGACTTCCCGGGAGGTCACCCAACCCAATACTATTTAAACCTAAAGACATTTAACCCCAAAATATCCCAAGACCCTTAACCGATTGGAAAAGGGGGTGCACTCTTATTCATGGGCCCTTTCCCTTTATATTTGAACCCTATGGATCATCTCTCGAGTTGTTCCCTTTGGTTGCTTACACTGCTAAACACTCCTTCTTTGTTTTGAAGTAGTTCACCTTTGCCGGTTATAATGTATAGTTGATATATATAATGGGATGGTATTGATCACATACACTCGGGCTCTCTTGCATCAACATACCTCCAAAACCAATATAAAAAACATCCACATGTAAAATAAAAGGTCAAGTATAATCAGGATACACCAAAATCGGAAGAGTCGTCAATAGCTCTTTGATATCCATGAATGCCCGCTCATAGTCCACAAACCAAATGAAAAATAATATTGATGATTTCAACAACACTCGCAATGGTGTGATGTGATTAAAAAGATGATCCACAAAACAACCGAGATATTGCACCTTGCCTAGAAAGTGTTGTATATCATTCACACACTTTGGAATAAAGAACTTTAAAACAACCATAAGTTTGTTAGGATCAACTTGCAAACCTTCACAAGCAATACAGTACCTAAAGTAAGTCATGTTCTTGGACCCAAACACGCACTTTAACCATTTCAGCTTTAAAGCAACATCCTGTAGCCAATCCAACACTTTACAAACATCACGAACGTCTCCTCCCATGTCCCCTTCAAGTGGATCAGACTTATCAATGAAGTCAGCACTCACCTCTGGCATATCGCAAAGAACTTCGTCCATCATTCACTAGAAAGTTGCTAAAGCACTGTTCAAACCAAACGACATTACCAAGAACTTGTACAAACCAAATGGTGTACAAAAAACAATCTCAGAAATATCTTTTTCGGCCATTAGTACTGGCCAATACCCAAAAACAAGATTTAGCTTAGTGAATTAATGATTTTTCCCCAAACAATCCAAGAGATTAGCAATGTGAGTAGTGTGACCAATGATGTAGCACATCTGAATTTAGGGTTGAATTCCAAGCCCATTGCACTATGAAACAAGGGTCCAGTACAATCCCAAGAGCACCAGCCCCCCGTATTCAGCTCCCCGTATCTAGCATCTACATGCAAAACGGTGTTAGATGGAGTGTGGCACAATTTTGGCATACCAGTGGCCTAACGCGAGGAGGAGGGTACCCCATTGACTAGAGTAACATGGAGTTTGGGCTTAAACCAAAACCAGATGCAGAACAAAGAGTGACACAGCTCAGTGGGAGCCAAACTAATGTCTCAGGTGGTTGGACATGCATTTCAACCACTATCTCTACTATACATTTGGAACCCCCTATGCCCCTCCTTGTCTTCCCGACCTGCTACTCCTCGAGGATAGGCCCACTCCTCGGATCTTCCGATGCCAACGCTAGTGGTGATATACTTGAGCACCAATAAAAGTCAAACTAAAGAACAGCTCTGATACCAAGTTGTAATCGACTAAATTTTTCCATTCTACTTTAGTCACTTAGCCACACCTTCGACCACTTGGAAGAGTCTCACTCACAACCTCCATAAGTCCTATTCCAAACTTGGGCTTGTTAGCCCCAAGAATGGCATCCTCGCCACTCAACCTTTGCACTTGGTCTTAGTGCTCCACATGTCCGATCCCATGACCGACACCCAAGGTACCATTGACATATCTGCCTGTTACGCCAGGCCATGCCCATTCACCTTGGTCACATCGGTGGTCTAACACCACCTGCATTGCAATCCCGTCTCTTTAGGACTGGGCTATTCGTCCATGAGTGGTCATCCTAGATCCACTCCTTAGCATCCTTAGGATGCCCACAGACACAGGGAATAGCCTTCCCCAATATCTCCGTTCCAGTCCCCACCAAGTCCCTTTCTTTCCTTGGTCGAGTTCGCCAACACTGCCACTGGATCAAGGCCCATGGGCCCGGCCACTAAGTCCCACTGTCCTCTAGGACTTCCTTCCTGTGTGATTGTGTCTTTGGTCACCACACCAAAGGGCTACTCCTCTTCCTTTCCATAGTTTGGGACTTTGGGACAACATTTCGGAACACCGCGGGCCTCATGGGTACTCTCCCCGCCTTTCGCCTTTAGGTGCTCTAGCCATGGGCTTAGAGCAAGGTTCCATTGAGCCATGCTAGGTATCCAAGTAGGTAGTGCCACCCACACTTGGACTGGGAGCATCGGCCAGACGATCTCCCGGGGGAATTAGAGCCGGCTCTTGAACACTTCAGCAAGCTACCCCGCTTGTCGGTCTGTATTCACTTTAGTCTTGGACTTCCTAGTGGTCAATTCATCACCCAACACTAGGTCTGGCTTCCTGGGCCAAACTGGCCTTTCCTGGCCAAACTGGCTCCACTACAGTCCTCCCCCTTACTATACTTTTGGAGCTCACCAAACCCCCAGGGTCTGGGAGACGAACGCTTTGGGCTTTCACCCTCTCAGACTCGAACTCGGACTTGGACTCAGACTCGGACTTGGACTTGGATTCGGGCTCGGGCTCGGACTTGGACTCGGGCTTGGGCTCGGTCTTGGCCTCGGCCTCGGCCTCGGTCTCGGTCCTGATCTCGGTCTCGGTCTCGGTCCTGATCTCGGTCTCGGTCTTGGTCCCGGTGTCGGTGTCGACCTCGGACTCCATCTCAGATTTCATCT